ATAAACGAGGCCGTCGTAGTTCAGCGAAGTTTAAATAAAGGTTCAATAAGACGAATTAATTAATGATCTGTTGATCATTTCTTCAATCAGCTGTTTGGTTTATAACACGATGATGAAACCCTGAGATGACAAATAAATGACAAACTCCCTCCCTTTTGCTCTGAAGTACAGCGTTTATTTATTATTTATGATCTTATCTTGATCCAAAATCAGTTGGCGTCTGTTATGTTTAATTTATCTGTTTTAAATTTAATTTGCAGCCTTTTTGTTTTTCTATTTCTAAACTGTCTTCCTGAGAATCATCTTTTTGGATCAACTGTCGAAGCGCTTAGAAACCTTTAAGAAGGTGCTTCATTAATAAAAGTGACATGATTATTATGATTATTATTATTATTACTATTATTATGATTATATTCAGTTTACTGTCAGAGTGGATTAAAAGAAGCTGGAATCAAAAAATGAAGACTTTTCTTTTAAAAATCTGAAAATAGTTGGTGATTAATTTAATTTAACTAATTAATCGTCTGAATCCTGAAACCCGACAGCGAGCTGCAAAATCATCACATCTTAGAAAAACTTGCTGAAATCACACAATTTATTTAAACCAGAAACAGTAAAAACAGAAGGAATTATGGGATGTTCAGCTTTTGATTCAGTCCAGCTCCAATAAATCTGGTCTTTAGACGAAACTCTGACTCGAGTCGTCGTCTCATCTCGCCGTCATTACTTTAAATCATCGACTAAATTAAAAATCAATCAGCGCATCGATCGGTCCCGGAGTCCTGCAGCCTTCAGACGCCGCTCAGAGGACGGCTTCAGTCTGATCGGGAGCCCAGGAGGCAGATTAAAGTTCATGTGAAGGTAAAGTGGAGCTTCATCAGCGACTAACGAGCATCAGGCTGCTGTCTGATGAGCTGCAGCCGCTCAGGAAGAAAACAACCTGAAGCCTCGTCTGAGGTCAGAAAAACTCCAGGACACAAGATGATGAAGGAAGTCTGCTTTGCTCCAACTATAAAAACAATACTGGGTTTAAAAAAGGAAGGTTGTCCTGTTTCAAGATGAGATCATCATGTTTCTGAGCAGAGAGAGATTTTGTTTATAGCTTAGCGTGTTCTCAGCAGGATTTTCTTACTTTCTAACTTCAGACGTGGCTTTTTTTTATAAAGACGTCAAAAACAACAAAGTTAAATTCATCATTAACACAAAGTTTTACTCTTACGTTGCTTGTTTTTGTCATTTCCAGCCGGAAGAAACTAAACAATTAGCTGTAAATCAACATTTGGTCTGAGTATATATGAATAACTTTGGGATTATTGGATGTACCTGGAGTGTAGGAACCAGGAAACCTAAATTCAATCATTTGTATTTCAGCAGATTCACTGAAAAAACACAAATAATGTAATCTTCTTGGTTGTGTCTTGCAGAGAACCGACTAAAGTTGTCTCCAAAGTTCTATAATTTACTTTACTGGTGTCTTAATGGTCAGTCTGAACCACTGAACATGAGACTAAACTGGACTATTTCATGTTCTGCTCTCTTGTTGTTGGATTAATAACATCTGAGGGAAACTTTCCAGACAAGAGGTTTTGGAAAGTTGTGTATTTCTGTTGAATCAATGTGAAAGGTCTTCTGATGGTGTGAGAGGAGCTGAGTGTACCGAGGATGTTCTCGTGTCTCATCAGGACCGTCTGGTAGATCTCTGTCTCCCGGAACCAGCTGGCCTCCTCCCGGGTGAAGAACACCTTGACGGCCACCTTCTCGCCCCTCCAGCGGCCCAGCCACACCTCGCCGTAGCGCCCTTTGCCGATCTGACGCACCATCTGGATCTGCTTGGCGATGGTCCGCTGCACCTGCAGGACGGAGACGGCGTCTGAGTCGTCAGCCTCCTGAAACTATCGACTAGTGTGCTCATTTTATTTCAATTTTAAATTTATGTTATTTAAAAGCACTTTGTAACGAGTTTTGAAAAGTGCTCTAAAAATAAAGTTTATTATTATTATTATATTATATTATGAAGGTCTTGAATCTTGAAAATGATAAATAACAGATAAAATAATTAAACATTACACTAAAACTATAAATGCTTTCAGCCAGAATAAGATCATGAAAATTAAATAACTACTGAAACCATAAACTTCACTCAGTCATCATTAATTCTGAGTACAGTCTCTGTGATGGTGCTTCCTAGAAATAAACCCTTTTATGTGTCTTTGCTGGGTTTTTAAATCACACATTTGTGCCACATATTAATCTTTAAATATTAGGGGTGTGCAGTGCACTGCTCCCACCAGCAGGGGGAGCCCCGAGCCGCTGCCGGAGCTCTGCGACTGGTGGATGAGGTCTTTGAGTGAATCTCCTGCAGGGATGAAGACTTCTTGTTCCAGGTCCTTGTGGTAGCGCTGACGCTCGCTCTGCCACTTGTACCTGTGGAGCACACACACAGAGGACATGAAACCTCCAGCTACAGAAACACCAAAGAGTTTAACCACTAAACACACACAGCGGACATCAAACTACAGAAACATGACAAAGTTTAACCACTAAACACACACACAGAATATTTGTTTTTCATTGTTGTGTTTACATTAAATTTATTTTTTGTGCATCTTCAATTCAAAACAAAGTGGTTTTATTTAAATTCCACATTTTTTCTGTTGGTGTTCATTAAATTAATTAAAATGATCAGTTCATCATGTTATCTTCTCTAACACTGCTCCTCTCCCCTCAGCCTCCTGGAGCCACCATGAGAGCCTTAGAGCTGCTGAAGGCCTGAGGATCCCGCCTCAGGTGAGTCCTACCTGTAGTAGCAGACCACCGTGATGCAGATCAGCGTGCAGCAGCACACCGTCATGGAGATGAGGAAGGCCAGCCAGTGGGGGCTTCCCTCTGCACAGACACAAAGCGGCACCGTGAGTCCACGTTCAGCCCGTAAACACCTGAGCTGCTCGGTGGGAGGAGGGTTACCTGTGGAGTCCTGCGGGGGGAGGGTGGGCTGCAGGTCTCTGTTGCAGAAGTCTGTGGTGCAGCACTCGATGGTCCTCCTGGTCTGAGCGTTGGGCGAGTCCTGAAACCAGACCATCAGTCAGTGGAGACAGAGCAGACAGGTCTGACTCAGAACCGGTACTAACTGCAGTTCATCTGATTTACATGCAAACTGTCCTCCTGAACCTCTGTGTGTGTGTGTGTGTGTGTGTGTGTGTGTGTGTGTGTGTGTGTGTATGTGTGTGTGTGTGTGTGTGTGTACCTTGCACTGGAAGTGAGAGCCTTCAAACTTCATGCAGCCGGAGGTGAGCTGGACTTCTCCCAGCTCGTCCTCCTCGATGATGGCGAAACACTGACCGTTGGTCCTGAGAACACACACATCCGTTAATCAGTTAGTGACGTTAAACCTGTAAAACCAACTGTTTTCATCACTTTTATAAACTGTAAACTACATTTAGGACTGTTTTGGTGTTTTCAGCCACAGACACGTTAGAGAAAAGTGACGGTTACTCATGACTCTAGGAGGGAGGAACTAGTCACAGTAAGAGCTGTCTACAGCCGGATTTTACAATTTATTGGCCTTTACAAGTTCATTTCGCTTTTATCCAAAGTGACATGTATCTGAGAGTAGATCACATTCAAACACCACTGGTGACAGAGCTGCCATGTGAGGTGCTGCCTGCCATTGGGAGCAACTTTATACAAGATCTACAAGTTCCAGCTCTTCTAGAACAACGAAGCGGCCGAACCGTCTCTACTCACTCGCAGGTGTTGTTGGTGGCGTCGTCCGGACAGTGCCCGGAGCAGTAGCAGCTGAGGAACCGAGGGAGGTCCTCGGGCGCGATGGTGGAGTCCTCGCCGGGTCGCCGGGCCTCGGGTTTCACCCCCGTCCCCTGCAGGACGTGGTCCGGGTTCTGACCTGCGGCTGGACGGAGAAACAGGAGTCAGAACCAGAAGCAGGTTTACAGATAGTTCATGTCACAGAAGCAGCTGATGTTGGAACTGAAACCAACATGAAGATTAAAATGTGAACATTCAGAGCAGGAGGAGGAAGAGGAGGAGGAAGAGGAAGAGGAGGAAGTGACAGAGCTCCATATAAGGAGAAAGCAGATGGTGGCTCAGAGGTGACAGCATCCAGATCAACAGGATCTTTGGTTCACATTTAACTACTTGACTTCTACGATTCTAACTCATTTTAATCAATTAATTTATTTTACTGTAAATATCTGGAGACTTAATCCAGACTTTGTTCTCTTCCTGTCATCTTTATTCTATTTTTGTCCACATATATTTATTTTTTCCCTATTTTGCTCATTATTCTGGTGTTCAGCTGCTTATTTGCTAGTTTAGTTGCTAATCTGTAATCTTTGGATGTTATTGATGACTAAACTGTTTCCTCCCTTTTCCCTGTATTTCTATTTTCCTGATCAATCTTTCATCATCTCTCCCGTCTCTCCCCTTCCTTCCTCTGCTCGCAGTAAGAACCCAGAGCAGACGTCGTCGTGTCCGGACACGAACCACCTGCACACCTCCACCTTGAGCCGCCTGGTTGCCGTGGTTACAGGCCGACCATCCCAACAAAGAGCTCAGTGATGATAAAGACGCCGCCGGTGCTAATCTAGCTTCAACTTCAGCAGGATTCTGTGAGAATTCCCGACACAAAAAAGCAAAATAATTAAAGTTTTCATCCAGTTCTGTTGAGTTCAGTAGATTCAGATGAACAGCAGGTGAATCGTCCAGAGATTTAAACCAGTGAACCCCAGAACCTGCCAGCGGGTTTGTAAGACACGTTATCTCATACAAATTAATGAATTTACACTTTTAACAGCCAGAAACTGTAAAAGTAAAAAGAACTTATTGATCTGTGGTCAGAAAAATGAACCAACTCTCTGTTTAAAATCCTGATCTTTCATCTAAATCACTTTATTCAACACGTCCCGTTTAAAAATTAACCAAAAATACATCGTTTGCTGTAATCAGATTCTGTGAAAGACTAAATATTCTGCATTCCTCGACACAACCAGGAAGCCTCGACTGACTCAGCAGGGACCAACAGTCACTCCACAACAATTCAGGGACTTTTTATTTTTAATCAGATAGCGATGTGGGCGGCTGACAGAGAGCCAAAGTAACGTTTATTTTATTAGAAATCGATTCAAAAAGATAATATTTATGATAATAGTTTTATAAAACTGGTCTAATCATTCAGGTCAGTCTGCTCCTATTCTGAACGTACAGCCGAAACACGACCACTGATACAGAAATATAAGCTTAAAATCCACATATTTCATTTGAAATCCTCTTATTTAACACGTCTCATGTAAAAAATAATAAAAATCACCAAAAATAATCTGTGTGCTCGAACCAGACTATAAAAAAACTAAAACTTCTGGAGCAAGAAGATGTGACAGAATCAGAGAGGAGACAAATATGAAAACTAAATAAAAATGTACTAAGTAGTAAAACATCTGCCGTATGTAGAGACACTAGTTTTATCTTAAATTTTATTTCCAGTGTTGGTGAAAGCTGTGGGCAAAACTTTATACATGCTGATTCCAGGTTTAATCATTTTTGTAAAATAAATAATCCCAGAAATGTCTTCTGTTGTGATTTATCACATTCTAACTGAGTCTCTCCACACAGCAGACGTTTCTGGTTCTGGTTGTTCTGCTTCCACTGAGCTGCAGGACTTTATGTTGCAGAGAAACCTGATCCCACAGCGAGTAAACGTGTGATGAGAGCTTCTCCGACATGTTTCTCCCTCATACATGATGGTAGATTTAATATCTTTGGAGAATAAAACATCTACTGATGAAATATAACATTCTAATTAATCAACAGGAAACGTGATCGTTGCTCTACTTGATCTGCGGTTTCTGTGCGATCCTGAAACCTGGGCAGCTTTTAACGGCTCTAACCATCGTCTAGACCACCTCGCGGGCCGCCTCCTCCTCGCCGCCACGCCTCCCTCCCGGCCTCTGATTGGTTGAAAGTTGTGAGGGACGGGGAGGACTTTGGAGGAGGAGGAGGGTGCGCTGAGGCTGGAAATGGCTGCTGCTGCGTCTCCATCCACATGTGTGCTTAATTGTGCCGGCAGTCAGAGTGGAGACTGAGGTCTGGCAGAGAGCACGCTGGGTAATCAGACTCCCTCCATGTGCTCTTAAAGTCGCAGCGCCGCCGCCGCCTCACACCGACTGTTTATTTACATCCAGCAGCAGCAGCAGCAGCAGCAGCAGCAGTCTGATAAAAGCCTCTGATCTGCAGCCAGGCGGCCTTCAGCTGCTCCAGAGAACACGTGACCGACCGGACCGACGGCGAAAGTGGGCGCTGCTCAGATCGAGGACACGCAGAGTCCAGAGACACTTCACAGCCGAGTTAGCCGACGCCGAGTCCCCGTCTGCTAACATGCACCGGCAAAGATAAACCAACAGAAAGAACATCCAAACATTCATCGTTTTAGTCTTTTTAAAGCAGAACTAATAAAAAAATGCCAATAAATCTCTGCTAAAAGTGATCATCTGTCACTGTAGATGAATTTTTGACACTCTGGGAAGCTGTAAAAGCCATTTTAACACAGACTTTTAATCAATCTATTGAAAAAACTAAAAGTTTACAGCCCTGGAAATGAAAACAACCATTTTTGATCTGTCAGACAACTATCAGCCTGAATAAAAGTGCTCGTTTTAGTTCCTTCTGGTCGTTTTCAGCCAGCGTAGAAAGACAAACCAGCAGAACTAACATCTAAAGCCACAGAAGAAACTACTTTAATCATCGCTGTAGTGTTTTTCAAGCAAGAATATTAAAAAAAATAAAATAAAAAGCAGGAATTCTCTGGGAACAGCTTCTAAACGGAGAAGACTTGTTGCTTTTCTTGGTCGTCTTTTACTATAAACCAACTATCTGTAGGTGTTTTTAGTTGGACAGTTTATCAAGTCACTGGAAAAATAAAGACGTTAAACCAACTGTGAAGCCAGAATAATATAAAAACAACCAGAATTCTCTGGAAACAGCCTCTCAGATAGAAATGATGCTGTTTTTCTTGGTCTAATGTGACTGTAAACTGATAACTTTAGTCAGCAGTAACTTTTCTGGATTCTGGAAAGAGGAGCTGAAAACTTGTGGAGCTTTTGAATCAATTAATGAACCAGAACCATGAATCAAACGCACCCAGACGTGTTACGATTCCAACACAGGGACAGGAATAGAGGAGAAACACTTGAACTGGTTTCTGCTCCTCCTCCTCCTCAGAGGAGCTGAACCGGAGTCGAGCTGTATCTCAGCGTTATCTCCTCCTCAGCGTTGGAACCTTCCCAAACAAACTCCGAGGTGATAAACTCCACCCGTCTGGGGCGCTGTGCTCGGCTAAACAAACAAACACGCTGGAAACGGAGGCCACGCTGACGTCAACAAGCTTCTCAGACTCAGACTGAACTCAGCTTCTCAGCAAAAGAGTGAATTAATGTGTTAAAAATGAGTAAAGCAAAAACTTTATAGAGCAGAAATTAATTTAACAATCAACTAGTAATTCAAAAATAACACAAATATGTTGATTCCAGCTTCTACGAGGTGGTTATTTGTTGGTTTTGTTACTGTAACGTGAAGAAATGTTGATTTAAATGAATTATTTCGAGACTATGATTAACTTTCTAAACCTAGAGACGCATGTTTTGTTTTTAAATTACAGACAGAATCTGTAAAAATGGGAAACATAGTGAGATTTTTACCTTTCAGCTGCATGACTGATTCGTCACCTGCTATTCAGAACAGAACATGATCCAGATCTGAGCTTAAAATCAGGATATTTCACTAAAATTACTACATTTTACATTAAAAAATGGCTAAAACAGAGCAGATCTGGTAGAAGACTAACACATTGTGTGTGTTTTATATCCGGCCACGGTAATGTTGATCTGTTTTTCCGTGTCGTCGTCCTACTGAGGCATGAAGAACCCGTTTCCTTCTATCTGTGATCATCACAGCATCCAGGTGTCTGATCTGATTCCTCTGATCTCTGTCAGTCGCTGCAGTCTGACCTACAAACAAGCTTCACATGCCTCAGTAGAAAACACTTTAGGATGTTTTTAAAGGCACCAAAAGTTACCTGGATGCCCGATCAGAACCAGGACTAGACGGGTCAGAGTCAGAGAAGCACTTTTCAAAGCAAGAACTAACGCTTGTAGCACCTTCTAACACGATACACCGTCGACTTCTTCCTTATATGTAGGTTTATTTTTGCATTAATTGTCTCTCAGCGCTGGTTTTGCCTCCAGAGGAAGCAAAGCAGCAACACTCTGCATTAAACCGTCTTAATAAGCGTCTCTATGCGGCAGCTCAGCTTCCCGGTGGGCAGAGAACCAGTCGCCTCCTCCTCTTCCTCCAAACATCAGGAGAAACGAGGGACGACGGATCGGCTGTCGACCGCAACGAAAGCCCCAGAGATGGCTGAGTGTCGCCTCCCTCGTCCTTGAAGCCAGGAGGGACGAGCTGAGTGACTCTTCTCTTCACCGTGTTTCAGACAGAAATATCACACTTTCTCCTGCAAGCATTCATCTCAATCAGTCAAAGTTTCTGTTTGCAGCAGCAGAGAAAAGTGACAAACTCAGCATATTAACCCCACAGCCCACTGGCAGCTTGGACAAACCATCACAATGACACCTGCTATCAGTCACAAAGTGGATTTTCAACTTCCTGACAGCCCTCTGATGCTTCATTCTGAAGCTTAAAATCTGAATCTTGCATCAAAATCACTTCATCCTTCGTGTTTCATTTAAAAATTTGCCAAAACTTCATCGTTTACAGAAACCAGGTTCTGTAAGAAACAAAAAATGAACGAAGCCTTCAGTGACTCGGCTGCAAACGACAGCTACGAGACAAAGGTTCTGGGACTTTTGGGCTGAACTGCAGGCTGTGTTGATGGAATTAAAT